GTCGTTGGCAACCTCTAGCTCTTCAACGCGCTCCCGCAATTCCTCGCAATCCTGTTGCACCACCTTCAGTGTACGTGCGACCGTTTCCATTTCGTCATTAATGGTCTCTGACCGACTTTCGAGCAGCGAAACCTTGTCTGTGACCGCCTTCGGGATAACTTTGCGCGACGAAGCAGATATAGGTGCGTCGATCGAGGTAGGTTTGGATGCTGGAATCGATGTGACGCCGCGTGAGTTCATAAATGAGTCGAGGTTGGTTCGTGGATCGTTACTTGCTGCTGGGATGGGTGCTGACGAAGGAGCAACGGCGGATTTCCGCGAAAACGAGAAGCTGGATTTCGAAACAGAATTGGGTTCTTCGGTTGGTGAGTGAGTAAAAATTCTGCTAGAGGATGTTGATGCGACAGTGGATCGGGGCGCGAGAAAGGCTCTGGGCGCAAGCGGCTTGGAAAGTGATTGCCCGAAGGTGAATGGGGAGATCTTTGAGCTAGATGCAGCGCTGTTGTTCGACCGGGAGCTGGAGACGAGAGGAGACAAGCTGGGAGAAGGTTTGTGGAATGGAAGGGGAGCAAACGCGAAAGGGCTCTGCAGGGCAGTCTCGGGTGCGATGAGTTCTTGGTGAGCGACAAGGTGTTTCGTTCGGACGGTACTGAGTCGAGAGTTGAGGTCGGGATCGATGGGCCACGAGCCAGGGGAGAGCGATACAGGTGCAGCGGCAAGAAGATCCGGGTGCTCGGGACTTGGACGCTCGGGAGTTTCATTCGGGCGCCAATGTACGGCTTCGGCAACGGTCATGGTCGGGTGGAAGGGTGGAGCGGATGGCGCAGATGTATCAGGTCCGTGATATTCATACCTTGGTCCAGTGAATGGATTCATAAACGTGTCTGCCTCTGCTGCCTCCTCAGCCGCATTCTCTCCGTCTATCACTGGCATCTTGCCGCCACGACCTTTAGGTCGACCACCCTCGCGTTTCTTCTTCGGTACGGATTCACCTGGCATGTCGCCTTGGTCATCTTCGCGCTTTCGACGCGATTTCGTTGTGCTTGGCTGTCCAGCGCGGGTGGTATTGGCATCTGGCGCAGAGGCTTCAGCAGGCGCTTTTGCGCGTCTTCCACGTGTCTGCATGGCGGCGAACGGAGGGGAGAGCCTCAAGAGACCGTCTAGACAGAGTCGTGTAGGAATCCAATGGACTTCGAGATGATTCGTGGTGAGGGAAAGCGGAAGCACAAGCGGAAGCACAAGCGGAAGAAGCAGTAGAATACAAGCGCCAATATAAGCGCTGATGAAACACGTGGAATATATTCAAACAATATGTGCATAATACAGCAACATTAGAGCATATTTGCAGCCCCCGAAAACACCTAGCCGACAATTTTGATCAGAAAAATGATTGCTGATTCCAGAAATATGGTGACACCGAAAGCGGAAATGATGAGCGGCTTGGCGGCGGCATAGACTCTGAAAAGTGACCAAAACTGCAAAAAAACATCCCCCAAGGCCCGTTTTTTTTCGAGTCCGATGCACAGAAAACGGGGGAATACGTTTCTCTGTGCTTCCAGGGCGTCCCAGTCCTCGATTCACGAGAATGAATTTGAGAACTGAAGGCTGTCGTCACATCAGTAAGGGTGCTCAATTACAAAACGCCAGCTAGCAAAACAAATAAATAATTCTAAGCGGCTGTAAGCGAGACTAAGCGAGGGTCAGGCGAACCCGGGCTAGGGGCTTCAGTCTACACGACCGTTCTTTCAGTATATGCTCGTTCCTTTGCACCAATGCCCAAGAAAACCATCGACGAACTTCAAGCGGACTTCTATGAGGACGCCACTGTCCTTTTTGTGGTCGCAGACCTGTCAGATCCCATCAATCTCCACCCGGATGACGATGATAACCCGGACGAGCTCCTTGTTCGCGATGATTCCGATGTTGGCCGAAACACGCACCATGTTCCCGAGTGTCCAACGAACAACAACGAAGGTGTTTTCAACAGGTTCTGGCGGTCGAGGGCGGACACGCAAAGGCAGACTCGCTCGCTCGCAAAATTTCGCTTAATCGTCGCTTACAGCCGCTTAAAGCGCTTAGAATTATTTATTTGTTTTGCTAGCTGGCGTTTTGTAATTGAGCACCCTTAGTCACTGGCGCCGGCTAAAAACTACGAGTGATGGCAGAAATTTGGAAGGCGCAAAATGGGCGTGCAAATATGCTCTATTCATCAGGATATCGGCAGGGATTATATTCCAGGTATAAGCTGCCAATACATGGCTAATATCTGAAGTATTTGCCGCATATAAGCTTGCAGATATTTTCTCTTAAGTCTGGTGCATGCATGGTGGCATGAGTCAGGAACGCGGACGCGAGAACCGGACAGCCGAACACCGCCACAGTGCACGTGCCGCCAACCGACTCTCTTTCTCCCTCCACCTCCGTCGACTCGTTTGCGCTCTTACACCCATTTCTCAACCCATACGCCTATTCATCGGCGACTGATAGGTCCACAAACCGAATTTGTGGCCCAGTAATCGCCTCTGTGTCCCTCGCACTCCAGCCAGACCAATACATCGTAGTCGACAAATCGACACCCACTCACCTCGATGGCATTCGGAACCACCGCATCGTCTGCCACACCGGCGGAGACGTGCATGAGCCTTGCTGTATCACTTCTGTCAGGGCCGCAGGGGCAGTCGTTTGAGGTGCGTGGTGGTTCTAGCTGTCGATTTTACTCCTTCCTTTCTTTCTTTGCGGATGAATTGACTCATTCACTTCCTTACATTTTATTCGACTCTTTCTTCCATCATGCGGCCGTCGTACACAATCTGACTGAGTCACAAACAGGAAGTCCGCATAGCAGACTATCTAACCTCCTACCGCGCCACCGGGCGCCCACCCCAACCCTGCCCACCGTACCCCACCGACCCGGCACAGCGCGCAGCGCAAAGCCTCCCACCGCTCTTCGCCCCCGCGCCGTTCCCCTCCGACCCCTCTAGCTCAAATCCCATCACCAACACGAATACCATCTCGCCTTTCGGTGCCGCGCCAAGTGCCGCATCGAGTCTCTTCGGCAGTGGGAGCACGTTCGGGGCTACGCCTGCTGGCGCGAATCTCGGAGGCGGAGGAGGGATATTCGGTGGTTCTGGAGGAGGAGGTACAAGTGGAGGGTTAACAGCAGGAGCAACCCCCACTGCCACGGCCGCAGCGATCACGGACCCCGCACGGCTGCCCATCCCGCAGACGCTTGCCGGTCCCGTGCCCGTCGCCAGCGCAGAGAGAGAAAGGGAGGCGTTCGCGAGTATTGTGGCTGCGCCGGAGTTCGTTGGGTGGAGTCATGAGGTGCGTTGCTTTGTTTCAATTTCTTTGTATTCTTTTTTGCGTTGCATCCCCGCTTCCGCTCCATCCGTCTACTTGTTCTCTTCGCAATTTGTATTCAATTTCAATTTCACTTTCATCTCTATTCTTGAAACGGCTATGAATTCAAATTGCTACTTCATCGTTTAATCATGTTGCTATCGCTCGTTTGTCCTGTTACTATTTCCTCCTTTCACACATTTGCGTCCCTTTGTTCGTTCGCGTACTCACGTCGCTAAACCACCCGTCCAGGAACTCCGTTACCACGCCTACCTGCGCGGCGCGCGCGCCCCGCCGCAGGGGACGCCCATGTTCCCGTTCGACGTTGGTGCGCCGCTCTCGGGCTCGGGCCGCACGGGAACGTCCACCCTGTTCAGCAATTTATTGAATCCGGTCGCGAATAATCCCTTCGCGAATACGTGAGTCGATAATTTTTCGAAGGAGAAGGATGCAATATTAATCTGAATGTGTGCTAATAACGACCTTCCAGTCCCGCCCCTCAAGACGCCTCGGGCGACCAGTTCCAGAGCATCACGGCCCGGCCTGAGTTTGCAGGGCATAGTGTCGAGGTGGGTGCTTGTCCCCCTTTGCCATATTCCACTTTGAATGCAGACCGAGCGTACACATTTGCTCACATGTCGAACGCACTCAGGAACTCCGAGTCTCCTTCCTCCGCACCGGCGCGGAGCTCACCAGCGCGCAAATATTCGCTGGCGCGACGTCGGCGTCTGGGACGACGGGTACTGCAGGTACGTTATCTTTCTTGTCGTTCTCCTTTTCTGTGGTGGAATGCGGACTTTATTCCGGGGAAAGTCAAACCCTTCTCCTTCTTTTATCCGCGTTTCTTCTTATCCTTTTCTGTTCATCTCACAACGAACTAACAACCCCTCAGCACCCACCGCCCCATCAACAAATAACGCCTTCCTCGCCCCGCCCGCCGCTGCCCCCGCGCAGAATGCGTTCGCGGCGGCCCGCCCACCTATATCGCCGTTTGCGCCTCAACCTCAGCAACCACAGCCCGCTCCTCAGGCCGTATCGAGTTTTTCGTTCGGCGGCGGCGCACCTGCCGCACAGCCGCAGGGGCTCTTCGCCACTCAACAGGCCCAAGCACAGCCGGCGGCTTCATCCAATCTATTTGGCGGAGCATCCGTTCCACCAGCCCAGCAATCAATTTTCGGAGGAGCACTGCAACCTCCGCAACCTACTGCGGCGCCGCAGTTCTCGTTCGGCGCGACGCCGACCCCGAGCGGAAGTGGGGGGACGGGGTTTGCGTTTGGGGCGAGGAGGGGGTTTTAGGTCGTAGAGTTATGGAAACAGGTCGTGCGTAGCATATGGCTGACGAAGCCGGTCGGTCTTCATGTAACGCGAGTTATTAGTCAGGTAGTTGGGCGAGGGACGATCTGGGGTGATGTAAAAGCAGCGGGGAGAGGGGGTGTAGTGTACTTGTGAATTGATTTTGATTCTCTGGTTTCGGTATCGAGTGGGATTTGCATGGCGGGACTTGAAGACTTCAACTATGGATTATGGATATTGTGTGAAAGAGGGTGAGGAGAGTGGGAGTCGTGGATTGAGTTGGTGTGCGCAACCACACATATCGTTTGGGTCGTACGTTAGGGCTTGTATTCGGTTCATGCATCGAAAACGGATGAGGCAGAAAGGAGGGTCTAATAGCACAGTGGTTAGTGTAGCTCCGTAACTTGGTCTGAAGGGTGCTTGATATGGAGAAGAGCTCGGTTCGAGTCCGGGTTAGGCCATGTCTATCGAGGTAGGTTTTGTGCTTTTACCGTGCAGATATATGTGACGGTCTATTTTTCTTTCGTATTTGTCAGTGAGCTGATACACTTATAGTCGACACGATTTTTTTTTTGTGCACCGGCTGGGTTTATTTTGTAGGTAGGAGACCGACATGACTGTCAGAAGTCCCTTGGAAGTTGGGATTGAAAATTACGGTGTTGTTTCATTACATGTAGTTTGTTCTGATCTGGTGATGACTGCTTGCCTGTGATGACTATTTACTGTAGCTCCTTGTAGTGAAGCAACGGCCAAATGGACCGTGACAAGTCTGTTGCAATTTTCAGAGGCAACGGCCCTCGTCGTGACCGTGACCGTTGCTTGAAAAAGCAACGGGATTGAGAGAGAGAAAATCCCACCTTCTCAAAGCGGCAAGAACGGACAATGGCTGATATTTTACTCCGAATTTTGACATTGGTATAGATTGCAGGCAGCATTAAACACACATGGAACACTTTTGAATCTCATTTTCCTTTCGCAATGGTACCACCCGTTGGATTGATATGCATACAACAGAGGCCTGAATACATGTTTTTTGTACTTTTAAATTTTTCCAATGTCACGGCGGTTCAAAAGCAACACCCTCGACCGTGACCGTGACCCCGCGAAAAAAATGCAACGCAACGGAGCCCACCGTGACCGTGACCGTTGCTTCATTACAGGGAGCTACAGTATGTGCAAAATGAATTTCACATTTCAAAATCAAATAATAAGAAACAGAGTACAATTAAGTAAACCCGGTCTCCGAACAACTATTTGAATAAATAGGTACCATTCAATCAGTAAAGTTGAAAATCAACTGCAATCAGATCCTATTCATCCCTGTCTTTTCGGATTCCTCATCGTTTCTCGAAGCCTCATCTGTTGTTCCATCCAGAGTATTCAAGCTGTGAGTGGGTGCATTGAACTCAGAGAGTACACTCAAGAGTTCACTGGATTTTTCCATTTCTCCGGAAATCCTACCCAGCCGTTCATCAATCTGAACAATTTGATTTGCCTGTGATGACCGCTCAAACAGAGGCCGGGCCATTGTACAAAGGTCCACTGCCTTTGATGCATCTCCTTGATCATTTGCTAGATCTCCAAGTCGGAGCATACATTCTGCTCTGCTCCGATGAACATCCATATTATCAAATCCATCTAGAGCCACAGTGTACAGGGACATTGCAGTATTTTGATCCTTCTCAATATGGAAGACATCACCAAGGAACTGGAATGCTTTACAAACGTTCAGCTTATTCTGTGCTTTCATTGAAAAGCAAAGATATGGCACTGTCCATTGAGCAGACCAGACATGATCAGTGGCAGGCCATTGTCTAACGGCAGCGAGGCTCACTGGTTGAACATTTCAAGTTTTTCAGTGAAAAAAATGGTGAAAAGTAGTTTGAGTTTTACACAAATTTTTCATTGAAAAAGTAGGTGAAAAACTTTTGAGTTTTTCAAACATTTCCACTTTTAAGGTGAAAAATCTAAAACAAAGTTAGAAAGTGGTGAAAAAGTTTTAAATTTTTCACCTACTTTTTCAGTGAAAAATTTGTGTAAAACTCAAACTACTTTTCACCAATTCTTTGGCCGAAAAACTTGAAACGTTCAACCAGTGGCTCTGAAGGCATTCCAGAGTATTGTCAATGTCCCATCTGTACAATGCTCTGAAACACAACTGGAGTGTAACCTTTGCAGCAGCAGCTGTGTTTCTGTTTCTGACCTGTAATCTTCCTAGTTCCATGTCACATAGGACCACTGCTCCCATGTGTCCTGTTTGATGAAAAATTGCTTTAGCTTTGTCAAGGCTCTGGTGCACAACCTGTGCACTTGCATCCATTTCATTATCGAGTTGTGCAATGTTGAGGAGAGCCCATGGATGGAAAAGTTGATCTGGGTCTGCCCCAGATCCCTCGAGCGCTTGAACATGGATTTCACGGGCCTCAGTATATTCTGATTGTAGCCGGTGAGAATCTGCCAGGTTATTCATCAGATTGGCCTGGTAAAGGCTACCTGTCACATCACAAAGCTCAGCCAGCTTTATTGCTCTTTGAAGTAGCAAAATGGAATTCCTGTTGTCACCCAAAGAAGTGTTACACCATGCTAGCATTTTCAAGGCGCGAGATTGGAGAAATAAATCTGATGATGCTTGAGCAACTTTCCATAGTTCTTTTGCATGAGGTTCTGCTGCCTTAGCATCTTCTGTTTCTAACTTGTGATGAATAAGACTTTCCAGGACCATAGATTTCAATTGGTGGTCCTTGGCCAAAGCAAGAGCTTTGTGTGCATATAACATGCATTGAGTTGTGTTTTGAATATGGCCATAAGCAAAAGCAATCTTATTGTAGAGTCTACCTGATATATGTGTCAATGGCAGCAGACGGTAATGAAAACAAATGCAGCCTCACATTCAATCACTGGGTCATGGAATTCAGTAAGAAGTGACATGGCTTCGGGAATAAGGGAATTGACATCAGTCTTTCTTGCATGGAGCATCTCTATCATGTATTGTACCTTTAGTTTGGCATCAGGGCCTATCAGAGGGCCAGCCCGGTCAAGCAAAAACAGTTGCATAGGCATGATGATTCCATTTGTGGTTGTAAAGTTGGTGAGAGCAAGTGTGCACTGTATTGTCTCCTTCAGATTTTCACTGTCTGGATATAGCCCATACAGCAGAAGTTGTTGTACATTTGCAACATTGGGCATCAGGAGGTTCCGACTTCCAGCCATGCCCTGAATTCCAACATTAGGCATCAGGAGGTTGTGACTTCGAGCTGTGCCCTGAATTCCATGATACTTCTCGACCAGCTTCAGATGCTGATGGAAATAATTTTGCAATGGGTAAATGAGGGCCAGAGAAACAGGATGGAAATGTGACATGTGCTCTCGGATAGGCACAAGTGCTTTCAGGTGATTCTTTACATCATTGTATGCCAGGGCAGTACAAAGCAATGTTGCTTTACATGCCAGGATGTTGCTGATAGGGAGTTTGCTGTGCAGAAGATCTGGATCTGAAAGTCCATTTGGGAGAATTGCAAGGAGGGCCAAGAGCTCCTTGGCACCAGGGATCATACGGGGACTAGAAAGTGAGGTTGTTATTGAGGCATCCAAGTTGGACCTGCGGTCAGAACCTGCAGAAATTGCAGAAGTCTTCTCTGTCTTCCATCGAGCCAAGACATTGGTGCAGCCTCCCTCATAATCCACGGTGTGTGCTATGAGAGAAACTGCCAATGGCATGTTGTCTGTCAAGGCAAGGATCTCATCTACATCATTGCCCTCATGGATATTCTCAGCAATGTCCATAAATGTTTGACGGGCAGCAGCAGTTGACAAGGGCTTCAAGGGTGGTAGACATGGGTGGCTCCACTGGACCTTTGCAGGTCGTTGTGCCCCTCGCATTGTGATCTGTCTATGATTTAGTGGGGACTGTGCTGCAAGGAAGGTTACCTACAATCAGGGCAAGATGTGGGATATCAGTCAGTTTTGAGAGAAATTCTTCCACCCCACCTTGTGACTCCTCAGGCTCCCACACAGTCTCCAGATTATCCAGGATCAGCAGACTAGGTTTGGCCCTAGAAAAATAGGTGGCAACTTGCTTCACAACATCCTTTGACTTGGTTGGCTCTAGTCCAATGTGTTCTGCAATACTCATTGCCAGATCAATGGTTGTGATAGATGATTCAGCCACCACAAAATAACAATGCTGGTATTTCTGAGCAATCTTGGAATGATGAAGTGCAGCCTTGGCAAGGCTTGTTTTCCCCATTCCTCCTGGGCCCAAAATTGCAATCCTGGCTGGGGTCCGGAGGAGTATTTCCACAATATGGTCCAGCTCTGCCTGACGGCCATGGAATATCTGTGGTTTTGCGGGCAACATTGAAATTGAATTGGAACTTTAGAGACAATGGTCAGCATTACCTAACTGATTGAAGGGTAGTTGTCACCTATTTTGAGAGGCATTGGACAAATAGTGAACCTGCTCCAGATATCAGAATCCCTCAACAAAGAAACAGATCTTTCTTACAGCAGACAATCTGTCAGACAATGCTGTGTTGTCAGAAAGGGTGGAGAGGAACTCTAAGACCTCTGTGTGCATGTGGTCCCTTTCTGAATTCAGCTGAGCAATATCACCGAGAATAGTAACATTGGCCTCAATCTACACATCATTTGAGTTGGCATCACAACCAGACTTGGAAAATGAACCTTGAACTCCTCAAATGCCTGATCCAACTCAATTCGAACCTCTTTGATTAGAGTCTTTGTTTCAATTTGTTTGAAGAAGTGTTTGAAGTTCCTTCCATGATTCTGGGCTTCAATAAAAATGTGGATCTTGTGAAGTGTCCTAACCAAGCATGAGTTGATATTGTATCAGTAAATCATGGCCCTACTGCGTAAATTTTCCCAGGTGATCCAAAGTGGCAGGTGAAAGACTTCTGCTGCTCTCTGAGTTCATGTGTAACTTTATAACCACACAAAGCAGTTGATAGACATTTTCCATGATTTGAATGGAGTCATTTTTGTTCCTCTTTACATTCTGTACATTTATCAGATTATGAAAACAGTGCCACAGGATATTTTACCTGCAGCACAGTAATCAAAGACAGAGTGGTGTTTGAAATTGCTGGGATGAATGGAGTACCAATGGCATCACTGAGCTCATTGAGAATCGACACAGCTGTGGTTAAACCAGCAATGATATTGCTTTTGCGGAGATCAGTGATACTACCTGGGTCAGGCATTTTTGTAATAAGAACCCCCATAAGTTCATCAGGAAAAAACCACTTGCACTGGTTGAACATTTCAAGTTTTTCAGTGAAAAAATTGGTGAAAAGTAGTTTGAGTTTTACACAAATTTTTCACTGAAAAAGTAGGTGAAAAACTTAAAAGTTTTTCATAGATTTTCACTTTCAAGGTGAAAAATCTAAAACAAAGTTAGAAAGTGGTGAAAAAGTTTTGAATTCTTCACCTACTTTTTCGGTGA